GCATTTATGTGTCGCCCGGAGCCAAAGGGTTAAATTTTCTACTCCAGTTGCTTTTATTGCACGTAAAAATACTCAGTTGTTGTGGAAAATAAGATCACATGTAAGAAGCGTTACGTTTTGAAGCAAGAATGGCGTCTCTCAGCTGATAAGCACGTGCGTCTCGTATACGAGACGCCCGGAATCAAAGGGTTAAATTATTATAGATCGCTTTTTTTAGTTACAGAAATCCTTAGTTTACATATACTTTGAAAAGATCTTTTACTGTCTTAGTTCTTAGATTTTACAGTTGTTTTTAGTCATTTTAATATAGAAATCGTTTGTTGTCTTTTTAGCTGGTTCTAACGTCATTATTCCCATTAATGATATTCGCGGCATCGATTCTGGTGGTTATTCTAAAAGCGAACGTTTATTAAGATGTAAATTAGCATCATTGTAAGTACAAATGATATATCTTCTACTATTTTACTGAGAGACATTTTTAAAATGTTTTCAACAGCATCTGATGAAAATATCTTATATACTTTTTCCATTAGTCGAACAGCAACAAGTTTTTACTTCATTTCTTTTGCATCTTAAGATATCGTTTGGTCGATCTTTATGGATGGTCTCAAGGAATATATAATCATATATCGGTACATATATACTGTTATTCTTATTTATTGCCATCAATTTTACCAATCTTATGTGTTTTCGTTGCATCTAGGCTCGTATTAATCAAGAACAAGAACATTTTCTTATCAATCCATTCGGTTTGATGTATCACGAAGTGACCGGAGCCAGTTTGGTTAAAGTTGATATTCAAGGTAAAAATCATAAAAATGTCATTTTATTATATGGTAAACTTCTTTGTTTTAGGAAATATAATCGATCCGGGTAATACAACATATGGAATCAATCGTGCTGGTTATACGTTACATTCAGCCATACATAAAGCACGTCCAGATTTAAAATGTATCATTCATTTGCATACACCATCTGTTGCTGCTGTATCAGCCATGAAATGTGGTCTATTGCCGATTAGTCAAGAAGCATTATTTTGTGGAAAAATATCTTATCATGATTATCGTGGAATATTGGTAGAAGATGATGTTAAAAAATTACTGGTTGAAGATTTGGGACCAATTAATAAGGTTTCATATTTCTTTAATTAATTTGATATTTACAAAATATTCCTTAATTATGACTTTTCTAGGTAATGATACTAAGAAATCATGGTTTCGTTGCATGTGGTGAAACAATTGAAGAAGCATGGCGTTATGCATTTAATGTTATAAATGCTTGCGAAGTGCAAATTCGTGCAACATCCGTTGGCATTGATAATTTATATATACCGCCACCAGAAGCTCAAAAACGAGTAATATATCCGATTTCTTTGCTAATCTACATGTGTTTTATTCAATATTTGTCTTTTCAGGTCGCTGATGCTTTACAAGGAAATAATGACGCATCTGTTGACAAAAAATGGAAGATCGGAGAACTTGAGTTTGAATGTTTAATGAGAATTCTCGATAATGCTGTAAGTACAATTATTCCTTGATTTGGTATAGTGCCTCAGAATCAGTATCGCTTTCTGCATTAGAACTAGTTTTTCATGATCTTCGAGTCTCAAAATATGAGATCTTAAAAACTAGTTGTTTCCTCGAATACTCGCGCAGTAAAAATGTCTTTGCTTGGTTAGGTTTGTAGCAAATTTTTCTAGTCAAAATGAGACGTAACACAACTCTATGTGACCTTGCGTAAAAAATGACAGTAATTTTTCTACAAGTCCTAAAATGCTTGAGCAGAGATGCACAGCATTTTCTCTGCAAATTGATGTATTCATTTAGACCCTTTGTATTTCTCAGAATTCTCCAACCAGAAAGATACTGGAAAGCTCGGGTTGGTTTCAGAATGAAGTAAACACATGCGGCTAGAGGCTGAGGATAGAGTATAAGTTTTGTTCTACTGATCAGGAGAGTAGAACTTTCAAAAACCTCACAGAGAGAATTTTTGACTTCTAATGCCTGATAAAAATCACCATGAACTCAAATATTCAAAAATTAGGCTTTGTCAACAGCTTGCCGTATATATTAGCTTCATTTTAAAACTAGCCCAAGTGCTCCAGCAACTTTCTGGTCGAAAAATTTTGGGAGATACGGACATCCTCATTTTGACCACCCTTCTGGCGATATCTCGCGAACGGAGATAGATGGAGTAAAAAAAATGCCCCCTATATATTCTGACACGGTCATCATTCCCTGAAAGTTTGCCTTATACCGAGATAGGTTTTTGACAAGAGGTACAGTTGCGGATATTTGTTCAAAGGTCAATGTGAGCTTTTTCAAGACTTTTTAGGGAGTAAATATATATGGGTTATGTGTTGCCATAAGAATTTTTTGTCCCGGCGGTTTCGGCTCATGGGAAAACCTTATTATGAGGAACTTAACGATTCATTGGATACTACGTAGGTTCTTTTTTTTGTTTTTTTATAGGGTTTTCGTACTGGTTACGTTTATCGACACCCAATGATTCGAACAATAGATAAAACAGGATTTAAAGATGTTGAAGTACCTCCGGCCGCATCTTCTGCTTCTTTTATTGATGGAGAAGCATAGTACGTTTTACAACCTTCAGTGCAATCTTATTCATAAACAAAGTTGTTATTTTTTCTAGTTCACCTACTCGTCAAACACAACGAAATACCGAATGGAGAAATTCACCAAACGCCTATTTGAGGAAAGAAATTGAAGAAACAGGCACGCCAAATCCAAAAAAAGTAACAAAAGTAAGGAAACAAGTGTGAAATTCTTTTTCAATCAATTTTTTAATCTCATTTGTATATATTACTTTAAGTGGGTACCAGATACCGGATTGAAACATAGTACACCTATCAAATTCGAAACAAAACATCAATTTGCACCTAGTAACATTGATCCAAAAGAATTGAAAAATCACCAAAAACAAGTATGTTGTAAATAATAGATTCTTTCAAAAAGAAAAAGAAAAATTCAATTATCCTCACTCTGTTGTACGATAACTGCATTTGTAAATAATAAGACTTTTTATTTATATCAGATGAAGTGAAAATTGTTTGCATAGTCTTCTGAAAAATTTTCATTGAATGAAAACGACAAATTTCATTTAAATCCAATAAGTTAATTCAGAAAAAAAACTGCTGATATCTATTAGATAAATCGATTTTCTCTGTATAACTGTTCCAGATGAAAGAAGATCGCTTTAATGAAAAAATATCTGCTGGTTATCAATCAAAAATACTTGAAAACGTCGGCTGGGACGACGTTTCACAACTGAAGGTATCTATAATTTGAATATGATACTCATCTTTTTTTTTTGTTTGTTTGTTTACAGATAAGAAACAGATATTTAACAGATATAATCAATGCTGGACCACAAAGTCGTATATTAGATAATATGACTTTGTCAGAAGCTAGACAAAAGTTAGAGGTAGACACAGATACTCACTCATTCACTCACACGGTGAAATCAAAACACGCATAAAAACACGAATAATATGTGCTGCTTTATTAATTCTGTACACATGACAGCCATGAGGGAAGTCGAATCTGTTTCACGATTTTGCTTTAATTAAATTAGAAAAAAACAAACGAAAGTTGATATAACGCTTAAAGTATCATTTTTTTGTTCTTCTCTGCTTTCTTCTTTCATACGCATTTCTCAATCAAGCTGCTTATCTCTGTTAAATATCTTCTATCGTTTTTTCACTGGTATTATGATATTAATATATTTTCTTTTGTGTTTGTGTGTGTGTATCCAGGATCCACAATTATCAGGTGAACCGGTTATTGTTGTTGGTGCTGCATCCAAAGGTATAATTAAACGTGATCAACAAAATAATGCTGTTGTCTACAAATCTTATTATGCACAAAATCCATTTGCTCATATGGATCAAAATGAAATTGAAAAATATAAAAAAGAAGTTGAACAACGTCAAATGAAAGAACAAGGTTTGTATTGTTTATTTTTATTTATTATCATAAAATTGAGACGATAAAGCATTTTTCATACTTAAGTTAAATATCAAACAGTCCTCATGTACTAATAATGAATAGGTTTTTTTTGTTTTTGTTCATACAACTTTTTTTTGATAGAAAATATTGAGCACAACATAATATTCTTTTTAGCTTATAAAAAAGAATCAATGTTGCAAGAATTATTGGGTAATAAGAAAAATACCGGTTTATAATACATACATGATGTGTCAGATCGATCAATGCTTTTTTTGTTTTGATTTATTTTTGACAGCAAGCGCATGTGCTTTCATTTAAACTAGATCAAGTTCAAATTTAAGAATCTATTAGCATGACAAATATATATTTCTCTTACATTGGATAGAGAAATGGAGAATGTTGTGTGTGTGTGTATGTATTTTTGAGTAAAAACAAAAATGTGTGAAATAGTTAAAAATTAATTGAAAACTTTTCTTTATTTCGTTTAAAGGAAAAAGGCAAAATTTAAAAGTGTCTTCAAAGTCAGGTTGGTGTTCATATTTAACGATTGAATTGAGGTGGTGGTTTTATTCTATCATTATACTATTATTCTAACTATTTTTTGCAATATTATGAGTGCAATAAAAAAAAAAAGAAACCGGTGAATGTTAGCATGTAATCCGATACTGCTTTTAGTATAGTTAATAAATTATTATCTGACAATGCGTTGAAACTTCTCTATCAGCAAGTTTTTAATTGTTTCTTTTCTTTTTTCTTTTTGTTTGACATTATTTCAGATGATTGATTGACTCTATGCTATTGGTTAAATTTAGAAATAGATATTTCGAGTTAGAATTGTATTCGTAAAAACATATTTTTCTTTTTCTATCACATAAAAGTTTTTTCTTTTCTCACTAAAATTGACAATGTTTAGTGACCGTAGATAAAGTTACAAAATTTTTAATTTAATGTTTAAAACTATTTTGTTATTTAGGTGGTTTAAGTGATTCGCAATACGAAGATAATGTTGATAGTCGAGGTAAGTGATTTATATCAGTTCGTCGTAGATATGATCGTAGTATGAATATTTGCATGAATTATTATGTTGTATATAGTTTAAACTTCTACAAATATAAATCATTCACAGTTTATAATTTCTTACAGAAAAATTTTTTTTCTGTAAAAAATGATGGTAAGTCAATTATTAAATAATCTTGACTTTTGTAACTCAAATAATGATAAAAAAAATTTGAAAGATATAATTATAATTAGACTGAAAATAAATCACATTGTATTTTCGTTTTTGAAATCTATGTCTGTTTTTTTCTTACATTTTTAATATCGTTGAAAATTTTCTCTTTCTCTCTGTCTCTGTCATTCTTTCATATTTATAATTTAAATCATTCATAACAAAAGCGTACATTGAACAGAGCATTAAATATAAAATATATAAGTTGAAAGAGAAAATAAAATAGCGAAGATTCATATTATTGAATAATATTCATATAAAAACAAAAATAAAATAAACGAGAGAAGAAACGAAACATCTCAAACGTCATGTTGTGTCTAATAAAGTTTGATGATGATGACTAATCATATGCGGTTTTATAAAAATGTTTATTTTATTATTTAGATATTATTAAATTTATTTAGATTTTTTGTATGCTTATGCATCATTTATTTATAGGAATATTTTAAGTTGATTAAATTATATTTATCATTGAACATTTGGAAAAAGGAAGAGAAGTTTATGCTATGAAAGTTGACCTGTTTATGACACATAATATGATATCGACTCACAAATATAACAGATAAAAAGGGAAGAATGAAAAAGATTTTTTCATTTTTCAAAATATGATCATAGATAGAGACAGCTGAATAAAATGTTATCACTTTGACTCTTCGATCTATTTAAAGAAGAAAGAAACAACGATCAATGGAAATTATTATTATTGTTATCATTATTCTACAAACAAGAACAACGACACATACAATAAGGTAAACATAGGAGTTTTTTACTTTCTTTTCTGATATGGGAAGAAGAACAAAAAAAATGTTGTATCAAAAAAGAAACCACATAACATTTTTTCTTCTTTTCTCATGCAGGTATGTTAGAATACATTCCAAAAGCATGTCAAATTAAGTTTATAATGTTGATTTTCTTAGTATGAACTTGTTAACGTAGAGCTATGGACGTTAGAAAAATATATTTTGCCTTAGATGACCACAGTTAGTAGTAGCGATTGTAGAACAACTTAACTCAATGATCTACAAATATCGAATTTCTACTAATATCGAATCTCTTCTAATTTTCACCTTGCGGCTACCGTTATTGTTGTTGGATGATGACGCGTGTCAGTTTGAATAGTTCGATATCTTCTGACATTGCCACTCATGTCGGTACTTGTCATCTGTGGCGAGCCTGATGCAGAGTTTTTTTTCTCAATCGCTTGAACACTCACTAATCACGCAGCAGCTTTTTAACAAGCTAGAAGAACGATGTTATAAGTCACAACACAGTAACTATGCTATCAGATGAGTGATATGAGATTTGTAGACATGCGTAATTTGTTCAAAATGCAATACACTGAAAATATGTTACGAATAACAGAACCATCAAATCGTGTTGATGAATAGTTGTATAAAGTATTTTACGTATTTTACGTCTATCAGAAAGTTAAAAAGGGATATTTTTATAAAAGAAGAACATGATTCATTTTTTCGAATGTTTTCGTCTGATATATCGTATAGAGCAGAGATACAGTCAAGTTTTCTAAGAACAATTATGATATTTCAATGTTTAAGAGAGATGCGTGAGCGAGTAACAAATGTTTCGTTATTTATGATCATTATTTATATTTTGAACAATAATTTCAAATTATTGTTAATCTTACCATTTTATTTTAAGTACATGGTATGTTTCTTAATATTTTTTAATTCTATTTTTTCTAATTTTCATTTTATGATATCTTTATTTCTACTTATTGTTTTTTTCTGTTTGAAAATGAAAGATTTTCTTCTTGAAATGTCGAATAAAATAGAAGCATTGTTCATAAAAGTATTAAATTTATAAAGCAAACTGCTGTAGTTATAACAATAATCATCATTTTGATCGATAGAAATGTCAATAATTGATCATACAACTTGTAGTTTTTTGTTTTGCGCTCAATTAATTGATAATGATCAATAGTGCTCGTTTCTAAACTGTATGAGTTATGTTTTTATTATTCTTTCTTATGTACGTAGAATAGCAAAACTAAGTTTACCGTACCTTCTTTTTTTTGTCCAAAAATTGAACGACATTTTTTTTCTCACGAGGGAACCCCACGAAGTGATTAAACGCTTTTTGCTCGGAATCTAGTGGGTTATAGGTTATCGACCATGCTGATTACGAATACGACCATGCGGCTTCCGCATAGCCCTTCGAA